ACCTACATTTTATAGCGGCAAAGAACCAGAAAGAACCGGAAATACTAATGACCAGCTAAATAAGTTATCACGATAATATTTTTAAATTATACTCTACGAGTAAATGGCTTCATTAATTATTTTTTTCGAATTTAAATTCCACAAACAATTACGTATTGTGACCTAGTGCGAGATGCTATTGTTTTTCTAAATGGTGTTCGTAAACGTGAGCGACTCTAAAGGTTGATGTCGTCTGTGGACTGATTGACCATCTACTCTGCTCCCCCTCCCATTTGGTAGTCTATTTTTAGTCAGTCTCCAGCGACAATATCTGTACTAAAATATGTTCTTACCGAAGTGTGATCTTTGTTTTATGGCCACCCTACTATTTTTAACACTTTTTTATTCTCTTTGTAGTTCCCGAATATATTCCTATCTAAAGCGCCTCCATTTTTATTTAACCAACATTGACCACTTCAATATTATTTATTTATACCATACTATACATTATTATTACAGCTAGACCATACAATAATGCAAGATTTACAATAAAAACAAACAAATCTATGATAAAATACGTAAAAAAACATAATTAAGAACTAGAACTACTCAGTACGCAATATATGGCCTTTTTGAACTCATTGAGCGAACACGAAAAAACGTCAAAATGATCCGACATTAGTACCAATTACTGTGTACAGTAATTGGTACCAATTAGGTCTGCAGACCCGAATAAGAATAACCTAATATCATACAGATTTAGATAATACTTTACGATTGGTTACCTAATCTAATCCATTTTATTTAAGTAAATAGATCGCCAGCGGCGGCACACGGACATGCGGCGGCGCAGGCTTCTCCGTAGAAAGGAGGTTTTGGCTGAAGGGTTGGTATAGGGTTTGTGTCAAGTTTTCCTTCTCTTTGCAGTACTGTTGTCCTGCTTAGTTTGCTCTCTTTAGTCGGCTCTGCCGACACCCACGGGATGAATAGGAGTGGTGACACTATGTATTCTTAATCCGTCACAGTAGGTAGGAACATTGTTACGAATTTAAAAAAAAAACAACATTATTTGTGGGTAACTACGCTTTCTAGAAGTTTAACCTTCGTTTTTAATTAAAAATGTAAAGATGTGACAACATGCTTATCTAAAAAACTGAAAAACGACAGGGACGTGTTGCAAAAATCTACCGCATCACACGTGTAGCTCATCAAGTAAAAGGAGGTGAGCAAAGTTCATTAAACGACGAGAGAGTTAGTCTCAGCGAGGAGAATATTATGAAGCTCTTTCACAATATTCTCCTCGCTGAGACTAACTAGGGTAGCTCACATCGCGCACACACTCCACACGCGGACGTATTCTGTACCTTCGCCGGCGACTTTTTATACCTGTATTACTATAAAATTAATTAAACTGTGTTGTAGTTTACGGCACTTATAATCGTAGCGCCCCTTCTTGCGTGCGTGCAGGAGCCGACCGACCACGGATGTAAAACTCACATTAACATCTTATTGAAACCGAACTCCGCGAGCGTCAGAGGCACTTTGTACCACGTCACACCGGACACGAGACAATTTATGACCACAAAAATATTACAGCTAATAATACAATGTAATCAAATGATGACATGGTATTATTAGCCAAAACTTCCGCGCGATAACTCTTGGTCTTGTCATGAATCGAAACACCACTTCATCTTTGTCACTAAGTATTTCTGTTATATATTTTATATATAATTTTCAACAATGTTTACATTGGCATATCGTGACATATAGAAACGTCCGTAATATTGACACTTTATCCGCAAGGCACTTTTTCCTTTTCGTATTCTGCTTCACTATACGTGTAGGGTGTTATAAATGTAAACATATCTGCTGACAATTCCTTGGCCCCTGTGGGTAGTGTGATTGCAAGTTAATATTTAAAGCATATTCCAGACATAATTTACGACTTTCCAAATCTTCACTTGCTATGTATTAAGCACAGATTTTGTAGTGAATTAGAATTATCTCGCTGCTGAAACACACCTTTATCTTCGTTTATGTTCCTAACTTACGACTACATTATCGCCTCCCCTCAAATATTAAATTCAAGTTATAAAGTTAGGAACAATAAGTAATGTAACTAAACCGATAGTCACAAGTACCCGGTTCAGAACAAATCGACATAAAGTGAGTAAATCTGCAAAACGAAGTGTGGCGTATCATCCACAGATGCAAATGTATGCAGACTCCAGCAAACACATTGTCGAGTGGAGCCCCCACCCTGCTAAAGGAATTTCAACTCTGTTTGCATAGATTTAAAATGTTATAATAGTGTTTTCGTCGCAGTGGCTGTTATTGACAGGTGGATTCGATTCCCGCGAGCATTGTGCGGTGGCTCTCGGAAAATATCGCAAACGTGTAGCATTCTCGAGGCTTTCTTGAAAAGCATTCGAAAATCCAGTTTCACGGCAAATAAGACGTCGATCAAATATAAAGTATCATTCGCTCTGAAGGAACGTGAACGAGTGTAAGCTGTGTAAGTGCTTTCTATTGCAAATATTGTGTACGTTCTGTGAATGGACTCATTAACTACATTCTGTCGATTATAATATAAGCGACGTCTCTTTTCCATTACATTTTTAAATACTCCACGTATACGGAATTGCTAGAAAATCGATCGGAGGTTTGTGGATTTATAGCCGACTGCATAACATTTATGCACAATATACACTCTCCCATCAATAGATCTTATGTGTTACGTACATACACACATGGAGTGGCTTAAGAATTTTGTACACGGATGTAGGACGAAACAATTATTTGTTTCGTCGTTAACTCGCTAGGATACCTACTATTCTAGAACATCTTAGATTAAACTTGTGAATCAGGAAGCTAGACTTATAACGTAGTTGCTGAAGCCCGAGAAAGATTGCAGTAAAGTAGTACAAATTATTAGTTGCATCTAGCAACTTATGCAGATGCATTACTGACACCGATGTGCAGTTTCTTAAAAATAATTTAAAATCAGTATCGGACTATTGCGAATAAATACTAATCTAGGTACAAAAGAACGCTTCTTGTGTAGTCACGTCACGGCCTCAAGGACTGAGTTGGTAACAAGTTGTAGTAGCTGGACCCTCTGGGTAGCACGTAACGCGCGATCGATTATCTTGTATTAGGTATTATATGGGCATCATCTCACAAAAGTTTGTTGGCATCATAAGGGACAAGCGTAAGTTGCTACGCGTGACAAGAATAGGAGCCGCGAGCCTCCCCGCGCTGACACTCCTTCGCACGAGCAATTACAATTTAATGTACCGATTTTCTATAATACAATTACATCACAAAAATGTACTTAAAACTAAAGCTGGCATAATAATTTTGCGCCATAGGATTACATGATTCTTGTATTTATGTAGTTAGTTCGAGAGTCGTATGAAATCTGGAGGACAGCGCCATCTAGTATCAAGTGAAGTATGATTGTTAAAACAATGATTATTAATTCTGATACTTGCAGCGTTAGATGGCGCCACAAGGTAACGGAAGATTACTGATACTGGAAAAGTCTTATTTGTCTGGATCGGTCCATCTAATACTAAGGATCATTCTAGTTATTTCGATAGATAAAATAAATAAACGACTACTTTTAATTATTGTATACCCCGCGCGTAACAGTAACAATACAATGCAAATAGAAATATCGACCTACTACGCATCTTCGTTTGATTGCACTGAACGTATAAAGCGAAACCATTAAAGTTTGTGATGTATATACAATGTTCAACTTTAAACCCATGTGCCATTATCTTTAAAAAAATGCATCATGAAAAAATTTAACTTCCTCATTACCTAAACAAATTTAAACACACCAGGACATCTCAAATTTTGGCCAGAAAACTGACAGTGCCCAACGCAGATTAAGACACGTGACGGGTTATTTTTAAAAGATTATTATTTTTTAGATAACGAGTCGCGTTCAAGAACACAAATAATTGGTAATGCCCTGGTCAACTTAGTATCGTATATGCTGTTATCGGTCGGGTTTCTTACTCGCTGTGATCAACGCAATTCCTTCATAAACTCACTTTATTTACTAAAACACATTTATCGCAATTGTTTCCATGAATTGCGTATGTGTAGGAGTCTAGCTTTTGCCCGCGTAAATGTTGGTTATCGCGTTAACGTAGCCTACGTCATTCCTCAATAATTTAAGTATGTCCATACCATATTTTATATAAATCGGTTCAGCGGTTATTGAATCCCCCATACTTTATTAGTATAGTATTAATATTAGTTCTATCTGTGTTATATTAGTTATTAATACCGTCCCACCTTAAAGGATGATTTCTTTGATAAAAACTACCCTATGTCCTTTCCCGGGACTCGCATCTCTATACCAAATGTCATCTAAATCAGTTCAGCTGTTTAAGCGTGAAGAGGTTACAGAGAGACAGACAGACACACTTTCGCATTTACAATATTAGGTAGTAGGTAGTATGGATGATGTAATTATTTTACTTCTTCACTAGAAGTTAGTTCTTTACTACTAGTTATTAAATAGAAAGTAAATATCTGAACATCAGACAACACCATCTTTGCCCCAGCGGTCCAACGGTTAACATAGTGTGTGAACTTACTCATAGTAAAATTTATCATTCTTAGCTACAAATGAACAAATACAGCAACAAATACTAGTATAAAGTGACAACTACCATGTGAGGAAGTGAAATACATAATTAAAATAAAGAAAAGTGTATTATAGCAGCAAATTTTTAGTGTAAACCGTTAAGTTTTAAATCTCAACTGATTTACCGGTGAGTGTTTTGACAATCAGTTTTTACGTGCTGTACACACAACCCGCACGGTTAAGCGGTGCGCATAAGAACCATTACTTACTGCATGCGCTCACGCTCTGTGGCATACACTATCACTCGTAGCGGTGATTAAGTAACGCAGACAGCGCAACATATTATACCTACGCTTATTTCCTCTATGAGGCAGATTTTTGTTTGGGTTGTTGATTTTTGAATTTTCCCATTATGGCCACGAAATATGTTGAATGGGGTTGTTGCGCGAAGGATAATGAAACTGATGAAAATTTGGTAGATGAAAAATTCATTAAATGCACCAGTTGCGGGAAATCTTATCACTACGCATGTTTATCTGTCACGGAATCTCCAAACAAATCTTGGAAATGTCCCACATGTTTAAGTTGCGCTCCTAAAGTTAATAGGAAGGACTCAACTCCTATACGTAACGTGCAGATGAACAGAGGCAACAAAAGAGTCGCTATTGGCTCACCATCGCCGCCACCAATAGCAAGTAACAAGGATGAGATACGGACTATGATCCGAGATATAATAAAAACAGAATTCAATCTAATTTTGACACAATTCAACAAAACAGTAGTCAGCACAATAAATCAAGAAATGGAACCTATTAGAAAAGAAATTCAAGAAGTAGTGGCATCAATGTCATTCATGAATGACAGATTTGAAGCCTTCGAGAAAAGTCAACAATTTACTGTTGAAGTCATCAAAAACCTTGAATCTGAAAATAAAGAGTTGAAAAACACGGTTGGAGACTTACTTGCGCGCCTTAATCAACTAGAACAGCAATCTAGATCGAATAATATAGAAATACAAAACGTGCCTGAAAATAAAAACGAAAATATCTACAACATTATTAACGATCTTGGACAAGTAGTAAGCTGCGAAATTGAAGAAAAAGAAATACTGCATTGCACTCGGATTGCTAAGGTGAACCCGTCCAGTACCCGCCCAAGGTCTCCACGCAGCCACAAGGATTAAAGCAAAACAAAAGAACTACAAGTATGTGTGGGTCAGAAATGGCAGAATATTTGTCAGAAAAACTGAAGGTTCTAATTATATATTAATTAGGAACAATAATAGTCTGAACAAAATTATCTAATTTTTTATATATTTAATATCTTAATATATTATGCATGATTATGAATTATTATTACTAAAATTCATTAACTTAAAATTGTAGAGGTCTTCGAACTAAAACCAATGACTTTTATTGTGGCTTATGTTGTGCGAACTATGATGTGATTATCTTGACAGAAACTTGGTTAAACAGTGGTATACTTAACGAGGAGCTATTTGACGAGAGATATGTTGTGTATCGAAGAGACCGGGAAACTACAGGGTTCGAAAGTAAAAAAAACGGAGGCGGAGTGCTTATTGCTGTTTCAAAAAAAATTAACTCTCGTCGTATGGATATGTGGCAAAGTAGTTGTGAAGATCTTTGGGTCACAATCGATCTTTCCAATAATACTTCACGTCAAATGGCTCTTTGTGCAGTTTACCTGCCACCACCACTATGTGTATCAAGACTTGACCATTTTATTGAGCATTGTAATAATGTATTTGATACCACAACCATGTCTGTTTGTATAATCGGGGATTTTAATTTGGCTAAGATAGACTGGCAGATAGGTGCCAATAACGTTTCCCTGCCGAATGCGTGCGAGCGATTCTTAGATTTTGCAAACACGAATAAACTTATCCAATACAATAAAATAAAAAATTGTTCGGGACGAATTTTGGACCTAGTTCTGTCGACAGTACATTCTTGTTCAGTGGATGAATCTAACTCCCCCTTCACTGTTGTCGACAAACTACATCCCCCTTTAGATGTAACTATATTTTTGTCAAAACCAAATTATCTCTCTTATAATAAATTAAGTAAGAGACCGAACTTCTTTAAAGCGGACTATGAGAAAATTAACAATTACTTAAATAATCAAAACTGGTATCAACTACTCGCTCCAGAAAGAGATGTGAATGACATGTTAAAGATTTTTTACAAAACTTTAAATACGGCCATTTATGAATATGTGCCATTCTGTAAACCATTAAACAGCCCTTTTCCCCCATGGTTTAATAAGAACATTATCAGAGCTCTTAAGGAAAAAAATAGAATTAGAGTACGCTTCAAGAAATATAAAAACCCAAGAGATGGAATAGAACTAAAGCTAATTACTACGAGATGTCAAATCCTTGCTAAAACTCTGTATTCCAGTTATATAAAAGATATGGAAGGCAAAATCAAGGATAATCCTAAGCTCTTTTGGACGCACGTAAAAGCAAAACGTGGAGGATACAGTGTATACCCGTTGTCTATGACCGATGGAAAGAGTACAACATCCGATGGTCCAACCATCTGTGATCTTTTTGCGAATTATTTTTCATCTGTTTATACTCAAGACGACGACGAAGAGTTTAACTGCGAATCTGAATTTTTGAACTCTTTGAATAGTAACAGCCTGTCCTTAACCTGCCCAACTTTTGACTATGACAGCTTACTTAAGAAACTGCAAACTGCTAATATTAGAAAAGGGCCGGGTCCTGATGGTATCCCACCGATTTTCATATCTGCCTGTGCATCTGCCCTGACTTCCCCGCTTCTACGTATATATAACACTTTGCTGTGTACAGGCACGTTCCCACGAGAGTGGAAAAAAGCCAAAGTAGTGCCAGTATATAAGTCGAATAAAAGAGAGGCAATATCTAATTATAGGCCTATTTCTATTCTGTCGACCTTTGCTAAAATCTTTGAGGCTATGGTATGTCCTTCCATCCAGCGACATCTGAGACTGTACATTAGTGATCGACAGCATGGTTTCGTTGCGTCAAGGTCCACAGCCACTAACCTATCAACGTTTACGGAATCGCTGGTGCAGGCTATGGATGTAAATAAACAGTATGACGTCATTTATACTGATTTTAGCAAGGCATTCGACAAGATCTCGCATAAGATACTGTTACATAAACTGTCAGCTTATGGTATCACAGGACCCTTGCTCGAATGGATAAAATCGTACCTGACGGGGAGAGAATTCTTTGTTGTTGTGAACGGTTTTCAATCTACAGGTCGTGGCATAACTTCTGGAGCCCCTCAAGGTTCACATCTGGCTCCCATACTTTTTAACTTATTTATTAACGACATCCCTAACTGTTTTCAATTTTCTGAGTGTTTTCTCTACGCCGATGACTTAAAGTTTGCCAGAAGAATTGATTGCCCTAGTGATACCGAACTACTGCAAGACGATCTAAACAGACTCATTAATTGGTGTAGGTATAACAAAATGCAACTAAACACTGAAAAATGTTATCACCTAAAATTCACTAGGAGAGCTCACCCCCTTAAGTCAGAATACTTTATTAATAACCTAAAGATACAGGAAGTGAAAACTATTAAAGATCTTGGCGTTCTTTTCGATAGTAAAGTTACTTTTGTACCTCAGATCAATAATATAGTTAAAAGAGCGTCTAAAATGTTAGGCTTTGTTATGAGGAATACTAGAGAGTTCAAAAGCAACACAAAAATTATGTTATACAATAGTCTCGTGAGGAGTATCTTGGAATACTGTTGTGTTGTGTGGAGACCCCACTATGCCGTGCACACGTTACGCATAGAGCGCGTTCAAAAGCGCTTTCTGTCATACCTTACATTATCTTCAGGCAAAGGTAAACATCTGACCACGTATAGCAACCGATTGCAGTATTTTAGGATGCACCCACTGTCGGTGCGCAGAGACGTGTTTGATGCATTATATTTATTTAAAATCGTGAGAAACCTAATCGATTGTCCAGATTTACTGAGTCTTGTAAGGTTCAGGGCTCCGTCTAGATATCCTCGAAACAGTATTACACCGCTGTGTCCACCATTAAGGAAAACAATGTCAGGCACTAACTCACTTATACCCAGATTATGCAGAATTTTGAATGGCTGCAGTGATTTGATTGATTTACACCATGATAGCATTAGTAAGTTTTATAAGTGCATCATCAACCAGTTCACACAAAAAAATGAATGACTGCATTGTATTGTTGACCGAGCTGTAATGTTATTCTTTATCAAAACAAATAATAACCTTATCTGGTTATAGCACTCTTTTGTTATAGTGTGAGTTTGATTCAGAATTAACAAATTTTTATTATAATCTTGATTTTAATTTTGATTTTTGTCTCAAGTTGAATTTGTGAAATTTCTATTTATTTTATTATATGTTTTTATTTATTTATATGACACACAATACAACTATTACAATTTTTATTTTATTTAATCCTAACTTGTTACATAATTTAAACTTTTTAAATGTTTTAATGCATAATATTATTGGTGTAGTACTCACTGGAATAACTCAAGTACAATCACTTTGAATGAATTGTAAATTATTTTATTGAACTTCATCTGAATTGTTATTTTAATATTTTCTTTCCTTACAAAAAAACGGAATTAATTTAATTTAATTTAATTGCTAATTAATTAATGGTTGTTTTGTTGTTATGCTTGTTTTTAATCATGTTAAATTAATAATTTACCTATATCCTATTTATTTTAAACTTGTAAAACCGTTACTTTAAGTGCATGTGGTGTTAGCCTGTAAGTGATTATTGCACTCACACATGTTTAGTCTTTAAGTCAATTCTGTAATGTTTAGTGTAATAATCGTTGGCTGACCAAATAAATAAAAAAATAAAAAAAAAATAAACACCATTTTAACACAAATTACATTAAACAAAAACAATTGCGGTGTTTTACCACAGTTCAAGGCTCTAAAGCCTCAGGGTAAATATAACGCGGATTATTGTCCATATGGCGGCATAAGTCGGATATTGCTTGTACCTACTCACAGTGACTGCACTGTTGATCAGCCTATTGCAGTCCACTGCTGCTTGATACAACAACAAACGCGCCAACGAGACAGCAGCGTAAATAATATATGTAAAACATTCTCCTAAAACTGCTTTGTCATAAACATTATTGTGTAAAGCCTCTGTAGATAAATAAGATAGGACATATCACATTTCACAAACCTCCTTTCTAAGGAGAGGAATATGTCCAGCAGTGGACTGTTATGGGCTGTTGATGTGAAGTGATATCACATTTACGTAATAACTAGACATTGAGGTGCGACCCACGACCGTTCACAAAACCCGAGCACTAAGGCAACACGATCGTGTGAGCGATATTAAATCAAAGTGGGACAATAGCTAGCCATACACGCACAGATCTGCCCGCCGGATCTGTCCGACAGACGTGCCTGGCGGACAGATCCGTGCGTGTATGGTGAGAACGGACACGGATTTGCACGCCCGGTGCCTGCCCGCTGCCCGTGGTCAAATCGAGCGGATCGGGCACGGGGCGGGTAGATCCGAGCTCCCAACTGTGCGTGTGTGCGTAGCGACGGATGTACCCGCCAGATTTGACGTCAGTCGCGCTCTAACACTCGAAGTATGGAGGGTAGAGGTAAGGGGAACCATCTCATATATTAAAAAGTGTCCACTGAAAGGCAGCAAATTAAGATGGCGCCACAATAGCAAGTGGGTGGAAAATTTAAAAATAGCGCCACAGATAATTAGAGTAGAATACGATTAAAGAAGGAAAGAAGCTTTCCCATTGCTTCTACACTAATTTAAAAGACTGGTTTTTACAGACGACCGTATTTGCTAGCATTACGATCTGAACTGCTGCCCGTACTCGTGTGTGGCGAATCACGGATCTGCCTGTCAGACAGATCCGGCAGGCAGATCTGTGCGTGTATGGCTAGCTAATATGCGCCATCGGGTCCTCCGCACCGCGACGGTGGCCAGCGCGGGCCGGTGTACGAGCACACATTGACATCACGCTAGTTTACATATATAGACGAACTTTATTGTTTACCTGCTCAATTATACAGCACGACACCTTCTGTATGCTTACGTATATTTGCTTCAACATTTTATATCATAAATTTACTCACTGTTATGGCATACTTTTATTTGTTCTGGTTTGTTGTTGTTGTCTGTTTTTAGGAATATTTGTACCTAGTAAAAACTTCAAGCTTGCACTTTTAACCATTTGCCCAGTCAACAGCATGTAACAAGCAAGCAACCCCCGCAGCTGAGTCGTGTAAACACCTTTACATATTTTATGTGTTATAAACTGTTGTCATCCTGAAACGGTTAAGGGTACTGGATTCCTACTCAAATTATAGTCCATTAGAAATCACCAGACTGTTACCTAGATGTTTTTGGTGCATCTCCGCTAATGTGATTGATATTATTGGCAATGCAACTGTATATTTCTAAAACTAAATTTCAGAGTTCGTTTCCCACATCATGCCATAGAAAGAAACTCGAAGCTACTCGTGCTTGACATGCTAATACAACGCTTTTTTAAATTCTATTAGTCAGTCTTAGCAGCAGGTTGTGTTGCGTACTGTACTTTAAGAATATCGACTGTTTGTTGTCAGTCTTCAAATCAGATCTTGTCATTTAGATTGTATAGTTAAATTAGACAAAGTAGCGGTGTAGCTTACAAATCGGTTCCCTTAACAATAAGCTAACGGTCGGTAGGTCGGTAAGGTCCTTATCAGACGCGGTCGGTGGAGAAGGGGCTCGCCGAGGGGACACTTTATGTCACGGAGTCACGACACGACCACTCGCCAGACGCACGTCTGTTGTCTCACTCTCTTTTAAGGTAGTCTACGGAACTGTCTAAATACTTGCAGTCAATAGTATAAGCAATTTAATACATAATATTTGACTCATTTAATAAATACATAATTCATAAACATTACATTTCATTATTTTTGCACATCAATTCCTATTTTATTCATATTAACTGTTGCCGGGGTTTGAACAAGTATCATAAAAAGTAAAAGCCAGCGATGTATGTGCACTCATATTTGTACAGAGTGGTTGCCGTCTTCAGCGATGTTAACACGCTTTTAGATGAAGAGCAGTAACATGCGTTTCGAGTACCGTAGACACGGTATTGTGTATCGAGCAGATGCGGGGAACAACACGCCCATGAATAACGATAGCCGTACTTGTTACTTCATTTAGGTACTGTATTACAGTCGGCTGTAATAACAGCGAGCTGCGGCTGTTTCATAGGAAAAATTAACATTTCCGACATACAAAATAAAGATGTAAATGTTAGATAAACACAGAGTGGCGTGTGGCCACCCGCACCGCGCCCGCCCCAACTACGATCTGGCTCCACTGTCCAAGTGATTCCATCATAATATTCATTTCCCACTTATTTCGTACCCATCTAGGTTTGACTCTCGACTCAACAACTGTCTTGTTGGCTTTCATATTAGCACTATACAGTGTTCTAGATTATCATAGATCTTGAACAGTTTCATAGAAACGAGATTTTAATTGGGAATTGTTATTGTTACAGGTATAACCTTAGGGTTACGGGGCAAATTCAAGCAGACACAGGTTGTATTGTATTGGGTTCTAAACTTTAAAACAAAATGTAAAGGTGTTTAGTTATACAATCATATATTTGATAAGGTGTATTCCTGTAAAGCATCTGCCCGAAACTAAGAAAGATTTCGGAAAGTTTGGATTCAATTTTTAAGGAAATACTCCGAATAGCTTTTCGAGACTAGTACTTCCTAATCCTTAGTACTTGAGTAATAATAATAATAATATTTTCGGACATCTGACACATAACGCCATCTCGTTTCAAACTAAGCAGATCTTGTACTATGAAAGCTAGATTGACCGATACAATACTGATCTCTCTCTCTGACTCTGACTCTGGGACTCTGTTTATCACCAGTTCGCATTAAATTGATGTAATTGAGTGTTCACGAACGATTTTCACAGCATGTTATCGATATCGTGTCGTCAGTAAGTGGTAATGGGGAACACTAATATGTACCATCGGGGATAAATCTGTTATTGGTCTGATAGCGTGACGTCGTAGGCCGGCTCAACGGGAGTAACGTCACAGCCTCACAGAAAAACATTGTTAAGCAATCGTTTCGTTAGTACTCGCCGGGCTGCAGACAGTCCAAACTGGTGCTGACTGAAGTCTCACCACGACTTACTTGCAGACTAATCAGTCTTAATAGACTAGATATCCGAATAGTTGTAGGAACCATAACAGGATACCTAGCCCTGAACCGACAACTATTCACCATTAATGCGACGGACAGTCCTCTTTGCAGAGGATGGAGGACGTAATCTTGGAACGCGAGGGTGTGGCCACACAATGGGCAAGTATCATTCCTGAAACAAAATCGCTCCTAGAAGCCCCAGGAGGCTTCTACGCTTCTGGAAGGAGCTTGTTTGACTCACCTAACCAACCTGTCCATCTCCAACCGGTCATCGTCGAGTGGGCACGGCGGCAGCACGGGACCCTTTCCTTCCGGCTGACGCAGGTCCTGCACTCGGTCGCTAGGAGGGAATTGAGTTTCGACTGTCACCACTGCAATTGCAGTAAGGACTCAGCACACGCTGGCAATTTTCCCGGCTTGGGCGCCGCAGCGCCGGGTCCTCATTGCAAAAAAAAACCTGTCCTCGAACTATAAAGGACCATCTTGAACTTGACCAGTAACGACATGTATATTTTATTTTTTTTATGTTAGAGGCTCCAAGATATACGTCACCTGATGGAAAGTGACCATCTACGCCCATGAACGTCAGCACTCAAATACGTTGCCGGCCTTTTAGGAAGGAGTACGCTCTTTTCTTAAAGGTTTGAAGGTCGTATCGGTCCGGAAATACCCGTTCCACAGATTAGTTGTGCGGGGCAAAAATTGTCTCGAAAAGCGCACAAAATTTTGGCGGAAAGTTGCTGCTGGTATAAGTCCGAACTATTCCATGGAGCACTCACCATGATATATGCGATAGAGAATGCAGAGTGAAGCCATATCTCTACGTAACGCCAAGGGATCGAGCCGATCGGAGATGTTTGGGCTATCGACGATTCCAGTCGCTCTTCGTTGGATGCGGTTCAGAGGGAAAAGCCGTTACTGAGGTGCCCCTGCATAGAGATGAGAACAGTATTCCAAATGCGAAAGGACTTGCGCCTTATAGAGATGAAGGCGGTGGGCAGGAGTGAAATACTGCCTCGATCTGTTCATCACACCGAGCTTCTTCGAAGCCAATTTGACCTTACCCTCTAAGTGACCCCGAATAATGACTTCGCTCGATATCTCGATGCCTAGGATTCCGACGCTGGCTGAGGCAGTTAGGGAGATGCTCTCAAACTGAGGTGATACGACAAATGGTATCTTCTTTGCGGTGAACGCACAGACCCGAGTCGATTTAGTCGTATACATTTTAAACAAATATATTTTTAAACAAATTTCACAAAGATCGGGCTAATGAAAATCTGGTGAAAATCACTTTACTGTTTAAAATATGTACTCATATTGTTTAGGATTGAAAATATACGAAAATACTTAGTGTGAAGGCAGTTAATTAAAATATAATGAATAATAATAATGATTGTTATTTGGGTTCGGTGTTTGTATTGAATTTACATTACTCTTATCTTTATTTTATGCAATTTAGACGAGATAATTATAATTATGTTAAATAGCCCATTCCTTCGGTCCGTACACAAAGAAACTATTATTTGCCACTATAGGTATATTTTAATTACGGAACCACAACAAAGCAACATTTGATACGAAACGAGGGATATCAAACAACACAACAATACATGAACCTAACGGCGAACCACAATCCGATTCAGTACTACGTATGTATGTAGGCACCACCTAGGCACTCTCTTATCATAAAACGCGTACAATATAAGTGTAAACACGCTAGTGTGACAGGCGGGCGGTGGCAGCCACTCGCCACGTGTTGCCCGCGCCCGCACATTTGTTGTCTCGTTGTCGCCGGCGTTACTCCGATGTGCTTGTAATGGGCGCAATTTACATTCATTGGCCAACAATCAGACTACTCATTACCGCCACTCGTTATAACTATGTACACAACGAATAATT